TAACCGCCTCCTGGTTAGCTCAATTGGTTAGAGCGCCGGATTGTGTTGTGCGGGAGGTCGAGGGTTCGAGCCCCGGCCGGACCAATACTCATGGTCTTAAAATAACTGAGGAGAATTTGCTACCTTTCTATAACATCAATGAAATGGTTAGATATTCTAGTCTTCTCGGATAAGGACGAATAAATGGAGGTCCCGTCTCCTGCAGGGTTGGGGTAGGAGACGTTAATTTCCCACACACGAGATTACTGTATGATGGATGTCCTCCCCGGGGTGGGATGGGTGGGTAAAAAAGGGGTTAGGTGTCAATTGAAACGAAAGTTTTGTTCCTTTTTCCTGCCATTCCTGTTGCGAAGGAATTAAACTTAAACTTAAACTTAAGGTGTCCATCCTACTGATAACACAAGTGGGAATATACATGTATAGTAGGTGAGGTAGTATACTCGAACTTTTCCCCTTTCACTTTCTGTAAGTGATGGTAAAAATGAATTTAAAGGTGCAGGCCTACAAAATTAATGTACCTTTCTTTCTCCTCCATTTTCTGATCCTCAACTCTTCTTTCTTCCCTGCTTCTTTCACTATCTCTCCAGTGATTACCATAGCTTGCTCTTCTGAATCCAGAATCCTCTCTTGCTGCTGTGGAATTTTGATTACCGCCTGGTGATGACAAAACATGCACTACAGAGCTGGTGAACTGCTGCTTTGGGTGAACTGAGGGAGCTTCAGAAGCAACAACCTTGTAATCTGAGGAAACAGAATTAACAACTCCCACATTATGAAGAGGTTTTACAAAATCGTCCTCGTAATTTCTTTGATTCTGGTAATCAACAGCAGAGTCACTATCCAGACTTGAGCGTCTTAATCTCTTATCAGAAACTGGACCATTTACAGCCCTCTGCCGAGATGATGTACTTTGATCCAGAGATTGCCTCTGCATACCATTGTTTAGTTGTCTCTGGGATGGTTTAGACAGGTGTTCCAAGTTCACATCAAGGCTTGGGATTTTCTGCATTTGAACAGTTACAGGGGACAACCTTGGAGGAGACTGAGACTTGGTTGAATTTGGTATATCAAGTCCAAGTTTCTTTTGCAGTTCATTGTTTTCTTTTGTGAGCTTCTCCACCTTTTTTTCTAAAGTCCTCTTCATTCGAGAAAGCTCAAGAGATTTCTCCATAGCCATATCATTAAAAACTGCATTAGACTTCTCCAAATCCTCTTTGGCCTTCTCAGCAAATTCAGCCTTTTCTTCAGCAAGAAGTCTTGCTTCCTCTGCCTCTCGTAAATTCTGTTGAGTTAATCTTAACTCTTTTCGAATCTCATCAACCATGAATCTTAAGTTTTGAAGTTCAGACCCTTTACTTGCTTGAGACTGACGTACAGAGTTTAACTCTCCCTCAGAAGATTTCAATCTGGCAGACATTTCTTGTATTTCCTCATGAAGTTTCAGCTTCTCTTTTTTCTCTTCTTCACAAGATGCAGACAACTCTCTTATCTTTTCATCCAAATTTCTCTTCATAAGTTTCACTTCATCATCTTTGGATAATAAATCTTTATTAGATCGGGCTTGGTCATTCTTTAGCTTTTCAATGGTGTCCTTGTGTTCTTTGCAGAGTTTTTCAACAGACTGTTTCTCACTTGAAGTTCTTTGCAGTATTTCATCCTTTTCAGTGTTGTTTTTATTGGCAATTTCCAGCCTCTGCACAAGTTCTTGATGAAGATTTCTAAGATTTGAATGGGCTCTCTCTAATTCTTCTTTCTCTGTCTGGATTTGTGTTAACTTTTCAATGATCCCTTTGAGTTCAACTAGTTTTGATTCATGTTTTGTCTTTTCTTCATTAAGCGCTTCCATTTCTTTAACCATTTGACGTTTCTCGTTTGCAGTTTTTGCAACAGTCTCTGACAGACACTCACATTCACTTTTTAAATTATAAATTTCTTTCTTGAAAGCTTCCACCTCACTACTGTGATCATCATTAGTTTTACTAACTTCACCCTCTTGGACTTTTTTACTTTTCTGCTTTTTCCCTTTTTCACTTGCACTTGTTTTCCACTTGTCTTTCTCTTCCCTCTCCTTTTCCAGATCTTCTTTCAGTGATGTTATCTCCTCCTCTGCCTTTTCCAGTGACTCGTGAAGTGTTGATGTTTCCTTGTTCAGTTTTTCAAGAGCTGACTTTAACTGAAGGACATTTTGAGTTGGTTTAGGTGATACATTTTCTGACATCTTTTCTCTTTGTTCCTTTAATTGCTGTATTTCTTTTTCAAGTTGGTCAACTTTCTTAGTCAATACACTCTTTTCTTTCTCAAGAAGGGTGCACTTTCTCTCAGCATCTGCTAGATCTTCTTTTGATTCCTGAAAAAAATAAAACAAATGGTAGACGACGGCAGTCAATTCTCTTTCTCAGTATCAACTTTGGATTTCCTTCTAGTACAAATAAAAATAGACTCCACACACAGCACAACCACTGACATCAAAATTTAAATGACATCTTAATGAAAAGAAACTGCATTAGTTATCTCTGTCTATAGTCATAACAATAAAACTGGAACTCTCAAGTCAAAGGCTTAAAGAAAATTTAATAATTTCAGTCCATATCTGACTTAAACATGCTATAAAATTAAAAGGAATTCTTAGTAAATGAAAGAGAACACCATTCCCTTATACTTATTGTAGAATACAAACCAGTACAAAGAAATAAAATCAAAAATGTAAAAAATTTACCTTCAGCAATACAACATTTCCATTTTGATTCCCAGTCTTACTCAACCTCTTTTGCAAACAATCCACCTCTTCCTCAAGCTCTTCTCTGTCTAATTCTAGTTGTTCTTTCAAGGATTTCAGCTGTTTATTTTCCTTCTTTAAGCTTTCACTAAGCTTTTGCATTTCTGCTTTCTGTGAGTTTGCATTTATCAGTTCTTTAGCAATATTGTCTTCTGATTCCTCTGCCATTTGAAGAAGTTTTTGTAGGTTTGCATTTTCATCATGTAGCAATTCCAGTTCTCTTGTCAATAAATTTGATGTATTATCTGCCATATTAGTATTTTGACCTAAACCTTTTAATTGCTCATTTTCTAAAGTTAATTTCTCAATATCAGCTTTCAAAGCAAGGTTTTGTTGCATCAATTCATGGGAAGAGTTGTCACTTGCATCACTATTTTCCAAGCCAACGGAATTATCCAAAAGTGTTTTCAAATGATCCACTTGATCACGCAAACCATCACACTCATCCTGCAGAGCATCTTTCTCAAAAGTCACATCAGAAGAGTTCAGGACATGATTTTTAATTTCTGCTATTGTCTCTTCAATATCCTTTACTAATGAGTTCCTTTCCATTTCAACGACAGACCGTTCTTCTTCTAGTTTGCTAGTGTTAGAATAATGGTCCTCTATTTCTGCAAGACTGTTTTCTATCTCTTGAACAAGACGATCTTTCCGTGGAACAACTGGGGTTCCAGATGATTCCACTCCATTACTATTCTCACCAGTGTCATCACTTCTAACAAACAGATCTGTATTCTTCTGATTAACTGTACTACTGGGTAAACTGGTTTGATGGAAGGCAGAAACAACTCTCTTGGGCTTTGCAACTTTGTCGAGAACTAGAGATTCGCGAGGTAAGCCATTTATCATCTCTTTCGGCATGCTATTCTAAACAAATGATATTAATAACCAGCTTTTTTAACCAGTCAAGGACTCAGCAAGACACGAAAGACTTGATATGTCTAATTGATGCACTACAAAGACCTGAAACAAGACAAAGAAGAATTGTCAACAATTTGTGCTCTAATTAAATTTTCACAGCTCAATGCATATCCATGAATACTTTGTTTGTATCATTTAATTCATGCACAAGTTAACACTATCATAGTTATTTTAAGAGTGATTAGTGTAAAATAACATTCCCCAGTTTCCTATTGGTATATCAGAGCATAATCAGCCAAAGGGCATGGAAGAAACATTAAGAAACGTTGCCAAAGGGAAGTTTTTACAAGTCAACCATGATCATTTTTTGAACAAGTTGCCATTGTTTCAATTTTCAGTTATTATGCGTAATTTGTGAATCATAGATAATCATACACAAAGAGTTGGTCTCTAAGACATGGTCCAGTGCATCAACTATACTTCACTCCTTTAAATCTTTCTAAAATCGGGTTGAACTTGAGTTAGACGGGAGTGCATACATCTATGACAAATTTGTGACCTACATATTCCATAAAGCTACTAATATTGATTTATGAGACTGTGAAAACTTAACTTTAACATAGCTTGTCATTAGTAAGTTCAGGTGTACGCACAGTGATAGTTTCAAAATGGACACAATTCTGTAGCAGTTCTACAAACATCATTGATAGAGCTTCTGTACTTAGACATTGGGCAATAATTTAGCTAGGAACATTTGGAGAATTTGACCTCAGCAAAAGAATGATAACACTCTTAGCCATAAGGGTCTCTTTTTAGTGTCATAACAAGTAGTCTGTGACAAGACCCCCTTTAAGATTACCTTATTAAATAATTCATGGTTTAAACTGCTTAAGGGCTAACTTTGTCTCTAAATAAGATAACTAAATACTTTTTAAGCAAAATTGAATGCCAGAAAAAAATTATACAAAAAATTAATTATGCATTCTGTAACACTAATTAAAACCTTAATCAGTTTGCAGATTCTAATTCAGACTAATTTTTCACAAAGACCAAATCTAATACACTACAAAATTCCTTACTTTTAAGGCATCAGAGAAAAAAAAAACAAAATCTCAATTAAGTATTATTATTTTGACTAAAAATATCATTTGTTTAAAAAACATAATTAGTACACACATAGATTAAAAGAAAAGGCTTTCAGGCCTCAGAAACTATTAACATTATCAGAACTTTTGGTCAACTCCAGTTTATGGAAAAGAACAAGTTGCCTTAGGAAAATTTACAAATTACAACATATATAATCCAATTAAATATAAGCCAAACACATTCCTCAACAAGGCCAATCAGAATTTTTTCAAACAGCATACACAATGATTATTCTATGGAAGTGTCAATCAAAATTAATTAGAACACAATTTTCTTTCCTAGTCACAATAACCCTTTGTGAGTCCCGAGATGTTATTCATTGCCAGAAATATGTTCTGCTACCCTTCTGTTTACTTTCGTAAGGATTACATGCAATGAACACTGTGTACAAAAAATACTTTCATTGTGAAAACCAAGAACATATGTCAACAGATATACTGCATTTATGGTAAGACTCGAGCCTATTCTTCAAACATTTCAAACATGGTCATACATTTTCACTGTCAATAATAAAACATTTCCAAGTCAATAACTAATAAAAACTAGCAGACCCTGCAATCCTGTGAGAGAGAATTTTTTTTTTCTTTCCTTCAGCAAGACAATAGTCATACCTGTACAATAAATTTTGCTTCACACCTCACCTATAGATGAATGATGTTATATTTTCTACCTCTGCCCCTTTTACATTACCTTGTGCTTAATTAATTTGCAAGACAAAACATCTATTCATAGAGGTTTAAGGGTGCTAATGGCAGCATTTTGCACCTGATGAGACAGCCTAGGGTTGTGAGCTTCAGACATGAGACTTCAGTGATCACAAGGTAAAGCTTGTGATACACAGTACATTAGCAAACTCAGGTCAACTATTTGTCATGTGGATAATAATAATTTTACCATTTGATTAAGATCATTGAGCAATTTTTCCAAAATTAATTAAGGAATTACTCATACCCTATACATGGACATTGTTACAAGATAGATAATCCTGATCAACTATGGAATTTGTCATACAATTTAAATCAACCATTCTCATATGATGTTTACAAACTTTTAAGACCTTGATAAATTAAACACAGTAATATATTATAAAATCATGACAGCTGGTTTGGAAGAAAATAGGACTTCTGCGAATAGGACTGAATCAAATCAAAGATGGTAGTTTGAGGTATTCCGATACTACCATCCTCAAGCATAAAAGCAAATTGTGATTGATTAAAGGGGGCATGAATAAAAAGACACTACTGTGTAAATAAGTAATATTTAGGAGAGTTCAATTTAGCCACAAGAGGCATTACAGAATAATAGCCTTGCATTCTATCGAATTTCTCGTTGAAGGATGTTACTGATAATTAACAAAAGAAAATTGCAAGAGATAAAATACGATGACGTTGCACTTAAAAGGAAAATAACGTAACAAGGACGCATAGTTGGTTTGTGGTCGAAAATTTCAATTTCAGCTGGTGATACATTCTCTCCTTAGCAACCTAAAGCCCAACTAATTTTATTTAACTGCCCGTGAGGTATCCGACGTGAACATGCGAGACATTTCGTAACCATGCCAGATCCATTCGGCTGGTCTATAATGATACAGAAATCGGCTTAAAATTAAACCAAAGTTCTGAAATCGAACATACTGAAGACGATGCTACGCACATTATTAAATTTTCCGATTTTGTCGGGCGTGCTGTTGAAATTTAGACCAAATTTAATGGAAATAAATGCTAAGACGAGCTAATCATAATTAAAATGGCGGTACAAGATAACTTCACGATCTTTAGTAGAGAAAAAGTTTGGTTTAACTCACGTCATAAAAAGAAAGCGGAAGCCACACTCGCAATTGTGGAACAATACTTCATACGAAATTTCCGTAGACGCACGAGTGACCTCAACTTGTCAAAAATGTCACGAACGAACATGTTCGCTGTGTTCAATACGATCACAGACTAAATTTGCACAATATCCATCCCTTTTTACAGTTCAAACAACAAAACATGCACACGTTAAAATGTGTCACGATCCAAGAATAATCATTATTATGAAAATCCAACAAAAACGTTTTTAGTTGCAAACGAAATTTGATCACATCGAGGAACCATAGAGTTTCTACGATGGACAGGGATTCCAGTTAGTCCCAACTACGAATTACTCCAGACGATATTCCCAACATATTACTGCCAATAATACGAGAGCGAGTCAGTATTGCTTCAGTACTCGACGCGTTAAGTGAAAATTTACCCAAAACTAGAAAAAGTTCAGCAAGAGTGCGATCGACCGCTTACTGCGAAGTCTAAATAGGGTACTACTCACCACGGCTGGAAATTTTTGTTTGGTGCCAAATAGTGTATCTGAATGAATACTGAATGAATTAAACCGACGCTTAAAATCTTTGTTTCTTACTTTTTCACGATATAAACCCTGAAGGCTAAATTCCAGAACACTTATACAACTCATTTGACGAACTACACAACTCCGCTCTCGATACTAATCACCATCCGGAAACTGGCTCTAAAATCTAAACACTGACCTCTCGTCCTATTGGCCAATTTCCGAGCTAATGAGTTGTCATTGGCTATACGGAAAATAATAGACTGTTGGATACCATTGAAAAGCGGTAGTGGTTCTCAAAGAAATCCTTTTCTTTTTAACAATATAACTTGTCAAATTTTAATTCTGAATTCAAAATAAAGATAATTAGGTTTCTGCAAGGCGTTGTATACAGATAAATGAATCACCATGACTCCTGATAGTTCTTTAATATTTAACTTCATAAACAATACCTACAACTGTCTCAGAAAAACTTGAATTTTTCATCCAGATATATTATTTCACAAAAACAAGTCAGAGAAACGTTAAAAATATCTCTGAGTATAAATGTAGATAAGGCCATAATTAAATTCAAAGTTTCCTATTTCTCCGTTAACACCTTTGGGGTGGAGGTTTATTTGAATTTAAAGTGGCACTTACAAAGAAGTCAAACAATTTTTCCATTTATCTCCTGTGAAGGCCACAGAGATGGATAGCTAAGAGAAAAAGCTTGTAATGTAACCATGCAACGAGCAACATCAAAATGGTAGAATTCAATGAGGATGTGGGAAAGTTTGTTAAATTCAGCAACTTTTTTTAAGGACCATGCATATTCTCAAGGTTAGTCAAGGAATTTTTCGCCATGGTTCAGCAAACAAGACTCAATATTTAGTTCTGATTTGATGAATCATGTGTATTTTAAGTCAATCAGCATATAATGGAAGTTTGCTCACTTTCCTGTTAAACAGTTGTTTCAACCAGCATGGGTTGAAGAATTCATTTTGGCATCAAGATTAAAACAGAGAAAGAGAAAGCAATAATGACACCTGCTTTTGGATTTTCAAATTTATTTCTCCTTTTTGAAACAACCTTTTTTTTATAACTCCTGCCTAAAAACATCATATAAGGGTATATTAACCTTAAGTAATTTAATGTTCCATGTGAAACTTTACTACATTCATTGCTCAATACAATTACAGTATTCCATATGAACGGATATTAATAAATGAAAAATGAGTTTCATAGAGAATGCAGACCAAATCACTAGAGCTTAACTTCATCAAAGTTCAAATGCCATAAGTGACCTTCTTTTGTCCATGGCCAGGATATTAATAGTGCTCATAAAGGCTTTTTAAGGCTGGGTATCATGCCCTTTAGAGCAGGTGCCACTTTAAGGCACCCGACCATTCTACTATGAGCAGGCTGTAAACTGCAATAGGTACCCACTGCTTGTTTCAGTTTAATTTTTAACAAGCCCCATAAATAATTTTACATCTTTTCCATCTTTTTAAGATGACTATGAACTTTTAAATCTCTGAAATCCATGACTGAGGAATACATTCACTGCTGCTATGCAATCCACGACTTCAGAAATAATCTTGTTAAAGAGTTGTTAGTTAGTGAATTTCTGGTGGTCAACCGCTGTGCACTTAAATACTCTGTATCTTTCCTTCTTCTTCTAAATGGGAAAGAAAAATATATATCTGAGAGAAGGCAATACATGTAGAGATAAGATAATTAGAGAAGTTATCCACTAAATAATCTACTAAACAAAACCAAACAAGATATAAGAATACTACCAAAGAAACCCCAGAGATAACAACAAAATTTCTAAAAGCACAAGGGGTAGATTTGAAATATGACGTATAACTCAAGTATTACAGAGCACAGAGCCAAGGATTGAGTGATTTGCAATATCATGGGTGCATTTATCAATTGGTTGTTATTGAAAACCTCTACTATGACTATTGCTAAGACTTGCTAATATAAGTATTGCCATTATTGTTTCTGTTTTTGAATACTAATTAATAAATATCAAAGATAATGGTACCCTCATGTTGTCGTTCTGTTTGTTGGTGTCACCAGTGAGGCTGGTTCAGGTGGAGCATGGAAGAAATACAACTGTAAACAAAAGACAGTTTAGTATGACCACCTACGTTAAAGTAAAAAGAAAACAGATCTCAGGCTGAGCTATTCAAACATGTTTCTCTTTAAATTGAATAAACAAATCTTACCTTAAATCCAACAGCCAAAAGGCCATGCAGGAGAAATATGACCGCAAGAAGAATGCCAGCTATCTAAACAGGGCAGATTTGACAAAAGAGTAAGCGAATGATCTGGCCATGGAACCAGAAATTGCAGAAAACACGTAAGAAAATAAAAGGCTAGTCACAGAAACCAGAGTTGCTGGTAAATATTCTCACTACTTACCTTCTTGTCATCATCTTCAACTGCTGGCCAAAATGTTAACAACAGTACAGCACCTATAAAATTATTGCTGTGGTTATTATACAACCGCCCAAAAAGAAATAACATTGTTTCATTTAAAATGCTATATAATAATAATAATAATAATAATAATAATAACTTTATTTCTATAGCAGTATATACAAAAGCTCTATATCGCTTTACAATCTAATAAATATCTAACTAAATATCTAACTAGATTAATATATAAATCTAATACATTAACTAGCTAAATATCTAACTAGATTTTTCCTTACCTGAGAGAATCATTCCTATCATGACAAGAAACCACCTTAACCATTCCAATGGGACAACCCATAACACCTGAGGGGAAAAATATTAATATTATCCACTATTAAAATATTTTGAACAGCCAGTCAGTCTGTCCACCACTAAGACAGGTTTTCTTTGCAGAAAATTTATTCATCTGCCTATTACACATGAAAAAATTCTAGTAATGTTAAACCCTCAAACTTGCAATAATGACACAAAATATTTTCTCCCAACTATATCACTGCAATATCAAGTGTACAGGCAACGATAATAACGAAAAAAAAAAAACATCAACAAAACATCATCAGAACTGACGGTGCGAGTGATTATTATCCAACTGTGCCTTGTAGAGTACAAATAACACCTGAGATGAGTACAAATATCATGCAATATTTGTACTCCAGAAATATCCGTGAAATTTGCCCGCACTGAAATAACAATTTGGTGCGTTGGATAATAAATCTCTTATTAGATGTCTTTTCATGTAGTATCGCTGAGTAATTTTACTCATTGTTTGTATTGTTACTCGCCCTACAGGCTCATCAAAAATACAGCACAACTCGTAAAAATACTCAGCAATACTACACAAGAAAATGTCTAATAAGATATATTGATTGCAGACAGTGAAAACTTTGCCATCAAGATCTTGGAAGTGAAAGAGTTTAAAAGTTTTGGATAGATCTTGTTATCTGTCTATTTCTCTACCTAACAATTGTCATTTCTTTCTAACAACTTACTGATATTGGGACATAAATGGACAAGGAATAACCATAAACACAGAGTATCTCTAGAAAGGAATATCCTGCATTGCTTCTTCTCCAAAGAAGAACTCCCCAAAGAGCTGTTGGTATAAGGAAGGCATATGTGTAGATGGCAGCTGCAGCCAGAGTAACTGTCATGGATGAAAATTTGATGGCAGTAATTACTGAACATGGTTTCATACACGTAAAAAGGCTCACATTTTAGAAAAACTGTGAAGAAGAATAATCTTACCAGGAGAGATATTGGAAAAGAATTATGCGGAAAAGCTGGGTTAAAAGATTCTCGACATCCACAGAACAGGTGATGGGAATAAAAGAATTATTGAAATTGACGTAAACCTTTGTGGAAATCATACACCCACTCATGTTCTCCACTGTTGATCAGATAGCTTGCCAGGTTACCAGATATTGCTGTGGTAAATACAAGTGTTGCACAAACCCAGAAGGGACCTAAAATTAAAGCAATAACAATAACTGGAATAATTTTCAAAACATTCTATTTAATGTACCAACACTGTAAAAAAAAAAAAAAAAAAATAGATATATATGGGTAGAGTAACAATCATACTCTACCATAAAGATCAGGATTTGGACGAATGAAAGATACAAGGTAGTTTTTCTTGTAGACTGGTACCATTGATCCAATAATCCTCCTAAGGACCTAAAGAACAAACAAACTTGGTTTTAGAGGCTTAGGGCCACAAATTCCCACTGAACAATCCAAGAAGAACTTGAATGTTTCAGAGATGAAAATTGATCACTCAATTTCTTTGAAAACAGTTCATTTTATGCAACCTTCTTTTAAAACATAGTAATGGAAAAACACTGTCAGTATCATTTAAAACTTCATGGTTTCAATGTGTAATCATCTTACCTGGTATGTATCAACATCAAAGAAGGTTTGGTAATATTCAAATGTCCAGAAGGGTGGTTGTTTTCGCTGTCCCGCTAAAAGCTAAAACATATTAATTAATATAACTGAAAATCAGTGTAACTGAAAATGTTGCCAGGGAAGTGGCATCACATGAAAACAATTATTGTAATAATTTTTCATGATAAAAACTCATTCATACCAGAGAAATTCTGTTTTGACAAAAGCATTTTTTTACCAGTTAGGGCTTGACACCAAGGGTACCCAACTAGCCATGGACTAGTAGAAATTAAGTTTTGGCAAGTGGCTTTCGATTTTTACTGGCCAGTTTTGCTAGTAATCAAACTGAAATTGTTGTAACATCTAAGTTGTCACTGGCCACTTGGCTAGTAAGTTAAAAAGTTGCTGTCAAGCCCTGCCAGTACCAGCAAGGCTGTGCTCTAAGGAAAATTGAATGGAGCCCAGTGCTCTGAAACTATGAAATCCAGGATGCCCAGCATATGCTTTGTATGAAAAAGCTAAAATTCCTGAGCCGCCCAAGAGCAAACATAAGGTGCCAGGGGCCACCAGGCACTGCTTGACCACAGCCTTGACCAGTAAATATTATTAAACTTTAATAGTTATTCACTCCCCACTTTCATATATAAGCAGTTAAAAAAATCACATTGAGAAAAACTGAAGTTAGAAAATAAACAAGCAGCATGAAATTAAACTAAACTATGCAAACCTCTGTTTTATCTTCTTCATCATCTGAAAAATAGCAAAGTGAATGAATGATTCAGCAACTGCTTAATTTTCAAAGCAGAGAAAGATGATGTATTTATAATTGAACATTCATTCTTATGACTTCTGTATGTAGTCACTCCCATTTCATATTTTTAAAATTCAGCTTTACACTGCTGGTCTTTTCAGATGATGAATTTAACTAATTACAAATCACCTAAAAAGGCTTGATGATCTGCTGTGCTTGGTTGTTTTCCAACAGCTTTGATTGGAGCATTTGGATCTTTACTGTTCTGATGATACACTCCCTTGGCAGTCTAGCTGCCAATGTTCTGACTTTCAATTCTTCCCATTATTACTCTTAATTGGAGCATCTTACAGACAACCAACATCAAATGCATAGAAAATGAAATTTTGACCTCCTTATCAACAGAAATATATGGATATCAGAATTTTCCTATCTTGAATCCCATCCAGTCTGGTCCATTGACACACAAGATGCACAGGATACATTGATTGGTTATTATTCCTACTTCAAACAGAATATGTATTAAAGAACTAACCATCAGAGAGGTCCTCTAGTGATTGTGTTTTGAGATTAGCAGGGACTGTTCTTCCAGGTTCTTCACCAATGTTACCAACAGTGTTAAGATTATTTATATCATCTACTTTGGTAAAATCTGAAAGAAAAATGCTTCCGGTTAACTCCAGCAACAAACTGCACAAAAAATAATGATGTAATTGCAGGGGTATGAGTAATTTGCTCAGCACCATATGTGTAAATGACTCATCAAATAGGGTAACAAAAATGACACTGTGCAGGCCAGTGATACCTTTACTCTATAATTATTCTGAATATTGTGTATAGCTATTATTGGACAAGTGATCTAATAAATTCAAACCTTGGAATGTGAAGTCTTCGCTAGCTTCCCCTCCATCCTCCATCTACAAAAAGAATTCATACCTCTAACCCTTTTATTAACTACTATTAAACTATGATTTAAAACAAAATTCTTCACAAAAGGCTTCCTCTTTGTAAAATTCAGCAATTGGTATTATAAGCAACATATGGCAATCTGTGGTCTTTCCTTACACTTAGGTAGCACGGAAAGCCGTAAAACTCTTGAGCAAAAGCTGATCTTTCAAACCAGCAGTCTAAATCCCAAAGGGATCAACGAACGCTTTTCATTCCACTAATTTACCCGTGTTCCATTTTCTGCCTTTAAAAGCACACACAACCTGCAATTCCTCTATTCGCTCCGACGAAGGGCTAATGCTCGAAGCGTCAGCTTGTGTAATCGTTACGGTGACCAATTTACCATTTCAACTTTGTTGATATATCCAAATTAATTGGTATTATAATCGAGCCCTATACCTACAGATCACTGATTTGATTAAGTTTTTGTGACACAAGCTGAACCCCTTCACAGTTAACACATACAAACTCTGTGACTACCATCGTTAGTTTAATTAAATCAAAATTAACCACAGGTAGGATTCCAAGAGCTACTTTAATAATAATTCAGGATAATGCGAGGGGATAACAAAAAAATTAAATAATATCATCGAGCACTATGGAGTCTAGCTCAGGCAGTCTGGAAATAAACTGGATTAGGTTTTAATGAATTTAAAAAATATTTTTCGTTTTGATATCGAAGCTAGAGAATTGTAGAAACACATAATTACTGTTTCCTATTTCTGAAGTCTAATTCTTAAAGAAAAGTTAGGGAACAAACTATTTTACCTTCACGTCAACGAGGCCAACCTCATCATCACTCTCCGCCATTTTTGCTTTTTTGTGCATGCGTGGAGGGGCATGAGCTTTACAATGAAACCGCTGATAAATTTATTGTGGACACTTTTTCGAAGTAATCCAGGCTACCTCGGCTACCTCTCCACGTGAGGAACACTTTTTAAATAATCGATAATTTAATTATTTTTATTTTCAATCTTTTACCACGTTGAAAATGATAATTCCAAGTGTATATCTGAAAGCAGGGACTCTAGTGGATCCAAAGGATGGAAAAAATGTTGAAGATGTGGCAGGCTGCCTCGATACAATTTCTTTGTGCCCAGAGTTTACCATAGTGTACCTTGATAAACTCCAGGAAACAAAAGAATTTGGGAAGAAAGCTATGCTTATAACCTCCTGCTGCGTGGAAATTGAAGTGAACTCTGAGGATGAGGTGTTAGATTTACTAGATACTGGTGCAAACCGTGTCATCCTTAACAGAGATCGCCTACTGCATGACTGGGGAGAATTTTTACCCAGAGAAAGAATTGTCTGCAAGTTACCTTATGAAAATTGCTTTATCGCAGAATTGGCCAAAGAAATCAATGACCTAAAACACAGATCTTGCACCTTTCTTTTGTGTCCACAAAAAGCCTCCCTTGCTGATGAAACATGCCTTGTTGAGTCCATAAAAGAACTTAAGACCCACTTGCGTGACGATGTGAAACTCATAATATCAATCAGTGGGGTGATTTTGTGCTCAACCATCTCTCAGCTTCACTTCCTCGGGGTTCAGCTTCAACTAAGTACAACTTGGTTACTAAACGAACTCAGTCTTGGAGAGATTATTGCATCCTGTCTGAAAAGTGACCGATCTGATGGACTTTACCCAACTCTTGTGGTAAGTTTCACAGAAATGTGACATGGGCTTCCTATATAGAGGTTTCTTAGGTGTATGTTTAGAAAAGAGATGTTGTTTATATCGGGAAAACAACATGAAATACAACCAAATGCTAGTAAGATGCAAGTTTAGGATCTCACCCCAGCCCTCCCCACTTCCATTCACCACTTCTAAAGAAAAAATCTTGTCTACACCCCTCAGTGTAATCAATCAGAGCTTGTCAAGGGAGGTGGTGGCAGGGAGGGAGGGGAGGGGAGGGGAGGGCAGATGTTTGAAGTGGCAGATAAGGTACAAGAAGTAAAAGTAAGATGACTCATGTGAAAGAACTTGAAACTGATAAGGCAGAGGGCTGGGACTCAATGTGTGACAGGGCTCAGATATTTTCATTTTCCTTTACTTGTGAGTGAATTTAGCATTATTTCTTTCATTTTTCCTTAACTGTACTATTTTTTTGTTGTTGTTTTCACTCTCAGACAGATGAGCATAACATTGCATTAGGATTGTGTTACTCAAGTTCTGAGAGTATCCAAGAAGCAGTGAAAACTAAGAAAGGGGTTTATTTTTCAAGAAAAAGGGGACTATGGAGGAAAGGAGAAACATCAGGAAATCAACAGGTGAAATGTTTGAGTATGAAAAAAAAGTGACCTTTAAGTCTGACTTGGTAAAGAAAGTACATTCTTACCTCTAAGTCTTCTTTTTGAAAGTTGAAGAAAGCAAACTGTGGAGCTAACTTCCTTTTTCCTACACACAGAATCTTAGGCTTGGATTTCATTTTCATATACAACTTTTTTGCAGGATTTGTTGCGAATTTATTTAGACTGCGATTGTGATACCCTAAAGTTTGTTGTGCGTCAACTTGGTCAAGGATTCTGCCACCTTAACACATGGACTTGCTTTGGAGCTAACAATGGTTTACCATCACTTATGAATATATTAAGATCTCGCAAAGAGTCAGCACCTCCAGGATCATACACAAGTCGCTTGTACAATGATAATAAACTGCTGCATGCTAAGATTCGTGAAGAGGCAGAGGAATTGTGTGAATCAGAAACAAAAGAAGAGATTACTTGGGAAGCAGCTGATGTTTTGTATTTTACACTAGTAAAATGTGCCAAGGCAGGTGGGTAAAAAGCTGTGTCTGTTGTTTGGGTGAAGATGAGAAAAGATAATTGTTTAGGTATATTTTAAGGGATTGTTCATGTTAAGGAGGGCCTGATATCTGGAGGGGGACAGTTTAAAGACATTTTAGGAAATGTTGGTTCAGGAGAGGAAAGTCTGACCACAGAGTGAAGACACCATTATCATAATAGTAATGGTGATGGTAAAATTGTTGACCAAGATAATGACTTACTTTAGAGCTTTATGTTAATTTAAAACTGAGAACTAGACTTTCTTGCAATACCTGTTTTATAGGAGTTTCTCTGAGTGATATTGAAAAGGTTCTTGATCAAAGGTCACTGAAGGTTAGACGACGTCCTGGTAATGCCAAACCTGGCAAAATCTCTTCCTGTAATGGCCGCCCTGTAACTGTGGAAAGGGAACATGCTCCTGCCCAGGCTGACTCAGCCATGGTCAGTGTTCAAAACTCTGTTTTAAGAAGCTTTGATTTTGAGCTTCTTAGTGATAAGGAATTACACGATCTTTGTAAACGTCCTGCAGTGGTTGATAACGAGAAACTAGAGGCTGTTGTAAAACCAATCTTGACCAATGTGCGAAACAATGGAGACAAGGCTTTACTGGAATTAACAGAAAGGTTTGATAAAGCTAAGTTGAGCAGTCCTGTGATCAACATGTCTGCCACAGATGAACCAGTCCTTGATAAAGAGGTAAAGGATGCAATTGATTTGGCTTACAACAACATCTTCAAGTTCCACAAGGCACAACTTGACCTGGAGCCTCTTGTGATAGAAACTTGCAAGGGTGTGGTTTGCTCTCGGCATGTTAGACCCATTGAAAGAGTGAGTGAACCTTCAAAATTTTATTGTGAGGTTAAAATTAATTGTCTGTTATGGTGTGCATAAGTATGTTTTGTATTGTAGCAATCAATTTTGTGAATCAACTGAAGGGGATCTTGATTTTCTTAGTTCTTGTTTCTTCTTATTTCATTTTTGTGAGACAAACAGAAAGGCTTCAGTCTTCAATTTTTTTTTTAATTTTTGAATGAAAGACGTACTGTCAAGGGTCATGTACTACCAGTCCTAACATACTTTGGCAGTGTAGGGCTCTTGTTTGACATCTGTGTTTCTTGTAGGTTGGCCTGTATGTCCCAGGTGGTAGTGCTGTTTTGCCATCAACAGCACTTATGCTGGGTATTCCAGCCCAGGTGGCAGGATGCAAAGAGGTTATTTTGGCCACCCCACCCAAACAGGATGGTTCAGTTTCTCTTGAAATCCTTTACATTGCAAGAAAAGTTGGTGTTTCCAAAATATTATTAGCAGGTAAATCATTGGCCATGTAAAGTAAAATATATATATTTTTTATTGAATACCTCATAAGTTTTTTTTTTTTCTATTTTGAGAGACACCATCACCTAGTTTCTCCTGACAGTAATACTGGGGTACTGCTAAATTAAACGATGAGACCATGAGAATAAAGGAAATGATTGCCAACCTAAATAAGAAGCATTTACTGTTTAATGAATTCTCCAAAGGAAATGTACAATCACGTCTATAGAAAAGGATGGAGAATATAAACATTGGTGTTAGGGTGGAAAGGGATAAATAATTGAGCTCAGGGCCAAAGGAAATCAAAACATTTTATTTGTTTTGTTTTTTTTTTTATTCAGGTGGGGCTCAAGCAGTGGCAGCAATGGCTTATGGAACAGAAAGTGTTCCAAAGGTGGACAAACTGTGTGGTCCAGGAAACTCATTTGTTACTATGGCTAAAATGTTGGTGCAGAATGACAGTTCAGCTTGTGTCAGCATTGATATGCCTGCAGGACCATCAGAAGTTATGGTATGAAAAGTTGAATCAATGCAGTTCTCTTATCTTGAAGCCAATAAGGATTTTCCAGACTTCAAAATTTCTAGAAAGTAAGGTCTAACCCCAAGTTGTAGAGGCTGGTCAGCACATTTTAGGAGCCTTGGTTGGGCTTTTCAGCAGTGGAGTCCTACACCAGGGTCTTAATGGGAATTTAAAAGCTCACCAGGATATTTTATAATTGAATTATAGTTATGATCATTCTAGATAATTAGTTTCTTAAATAAGATGGTTGGTGGGAGAGTGGAGGGGGGAGGGCAGAGGGGGAAGGGGGGTGAGAAAGGGAGTTTGTTTGGGAAGGATGGGTTTGTGTGTCACACCCAGAGTAGAATCTGTAGTACACAGCGGTTAAAATGAAATCGGTTTTATTCACGTACCTAAGAGAACTAATTAAATAATTAAACACATGCTGTATATATGCAGGTCTCAAGGGTATTACATCACACATCACGCATCACATTACATCGCGCATATTACATGCTCATTGGCATCCGATACACTACATTCCCTCCTTTCCTAAATGCTCAGCATACGAATCGAAGCCTTTAAATTAAACTAGTCGCTCGATAAAAGGACAAGAAGTTCAAGATATTCAGTTCCTTTRATATTCAGTTCATATTCAGTTTATATGGCTTTATAACGAGCGGGCGGTCTTACAGTCCGGGTCAATCTCCGAACGGGCTTTCCCACTCTGGTATTTTCATTGTCTGGGAAATGCCTAGGTTGTTCTTGAGAATCTTCAGATGTTCCAGGAATCTCTTTTGGCATCGGTACGACTGCCGTCTCTGACATTTTGCTTGCCCCTGGGTCATCCACCCATACTGCAGAACCTGCCTGTACCACTTGGTCTTCATTGCCATTGGATAAATCTCCCTGCTCGTTCTACTTCTTTACAAACACAGTGTTTCTTTTCAGTTCAATGCCAGTCTCGTTCCTAAGCGTTACCTCTGACCCCGTCTTATGAACAACCTTAAAGGGATCAGGGTTAAAGTTGGGAGACAGCTTGTTGGTTTTCTCTGCTTTCACAAGAACTGTGTCGCCAACACTTATGCTTTTGGGCGTGGTACCCCTCTTAAGGTCAGCGTAAGCTTTTCCCTTTAATTTACTTGACCAATCTTGCTCTTGCACTTCCTCGCCTGGCACACCAACTGTTTCTCTCTTTTGCTCTGGCAGCTTGGATCTCATTTCACGACCAAACATCATATAACAGGGTGTAGTCCCTGTTGTCGTTTGCGGAGTGGATCTGTAGGACGTCAACCATACTAGCAACTCAGTTCTCCAGTTCCTTCCTTCCAAATGTGCGATCTGTATGCATTTCAGTAACGAGCGATTCTGGCGTTCCACCTCTCCATTGGCTTGTGGCCACAATGGAGTCGTTTTCCGGTGTTCCATACCATTCGTACGTAAAAAGGCTTGAAACTCTTCATACACGAATTGGGGGCCATTATCTGTCCTTAGCAAGAATGGAAAACCGAACCTTGCAAACATGGGTGCAAGTGCTTTGATGACCTTGGAACTTGTCATAGACTTCATTATAGCAGCTCTAGGAATTGACTATAGTAATTGACCACCACCAAAATACTCTCTCCTGTGGGTAGGGGTCCTAGTAGATCTCTCCACAGTCCTGCCAAGGGGCACTTGGAGGAAAAACACGAGACATTGGCTCTGGGGGGTCAAATCCAGAAGTGACCTGGCAGCCATGACAAACTCTACAAAACTTCTCAACATCTTTGTCCATTCTTGGCCACCAAACTTTACTGCGGAGACGATACTTCATTTTGACTATACCTTGGTGCCCTTTGTGTGCTAACTGCACCCTCTGTCGCGCAAGAGCCTGGGAACCACAATCCTTATGCCTCAAAGCAAGAGTTCACCATACAGACATAATTCGTCCTTGACCTGTGCATACGAGGGAAGTATACACTGGTCCCAGTTCCCTGTCTTAACACTGTTCTTCACCTGGGTCCATTCCTCGTCATGATAGGAAGCTTCCTCAATCTCTGTAGGTGATAGAGCAATGGGTACACAGTCCTCAACAATTGCTCTAACATAGTCGTACTCCTCTCCATGGTCCACGTGATCCGAGTTCAAGCGGGACAACGCATCTGCTATATTAGTCTTTCCTAGGCGGTACACTACTTAAAAATCGTACCCTTGTAGCCTTAAGACCAATCTCTCTATCCTGGCGCAAGGTCTCGAAGAACTGGAGTAGATATGCTCCAGAGGCTTGTGGTCGGTCTCCAACTCAAAGTCCTGTCCAGAAACATACATGTTAAACCCTTCACATGCCCAAACCAAGGCCAGCGCTTCCTTCTCCATTTGGCTGTAGCGCCGTTCGACGTCAGTTAAGCTCCTTGATGCGTACAACTCTCCACATGCCTCCCTGCTGCTGGGTGAGAACTGCCCCTAAGCCTACTGGGGATGCATCAGCAATGATTCGCGTTCTGCAGCCAACCTTAAAGCAAGCCAGTGTCTCCGCCTGGGTGATTAGACAATTTAGTTCCTCAAAAGCTGCTTGTTGCTCATTTCCCCAGTGAAACACGACGCCCTTCCTGGTCAACTCTTGAATAGGCTTTGCTATGGACGCTACGTCTGGCATGAACTTCGAAGAACACTGGACAATACCCATAAACGATCGTACATCGTTTGCGTCTTTGGGAGGTCTTGCATCTCTAATAGCGGCTATCTTCTGTTCGCATGGATTTATACCATCACTAGTCAACTCATGGCCAAAGAACGTAAGCTTCAACAACCTAAACTGGCACCTGTCTCCATTCACCGTCAACCCCACTCCACTCAGCCTATCCAACACTGCAAAAAGACGCTTGTCATGTTCCTCCACGTCACCTCCATGAACAATAAGATCGTCCGCAATGTTGGCAACCCCAGCACAACCCCTTAACACGTCTCTGATGATTTGCTGATATTTTTCTGGTGCTGATGTCACCCCAAACATCAACCGCTTCAGACTTCCGAGATTCACACTTGATCCCCTTCTGCTTTAGTAATTCCCTGGTCCGCTGTCCCATAACATTACATGAAGCTCCCAAATCAATGAGAACATCTGGTACGTACACACCACCAATGATCAGCGTTACCAACGCACTTCTTTCTTCCCTGTGGTCATCTAACTGTTCCACTGAAAAGGCATAATCGGGTCTTGACTGATGACCTGGTGTTGCAAAATCTTTTTTGTCTTCTTCTCTGGGGACAGGTCCTCGAGTCACTAGATTTGCCTCTTGCCCTAGTCTTCTGCGTCCACATCCACCCTGACCAAATCCACCAGCACCTCTGCCACTCCAACCATGTCCAACTCTGCTATTCCTCGTTCCTTTGGATCCCGACTGGGCGCCGCCTCGCTGATGGAGTTGGGGGCATTTGACTTTGAAATGGCCTATCGTACCGCACTTCCCGCAAGTCTGACCTCATGCCGGGCACCTCCAATCCTGACTAAAGTGTCCATCCTGTCCGCAACTAAAGCACGTCTTCAATTTTCTGGGATTCTTGTTTCCATCCACTTTTCCACTCACTGCATTGACCCGGTCTACCTGGTCCGTGTTGTATTGTTTCAGTTGTCTATCAACTGCTTCTTGGGATCTCGCAACCCGCAACAAATCACCCAAAGTAACAGTCCCTTCCTTTTCCAGGAACTTCCAGCGCAAGTGGCTGGAGTAACACTTGTCTATGAGTTGATACCGAATGTAGTCGTCCTCGTTGGCGCCAAACTCACAAGTTGCTGCTTGCTGATGCAATCTGCACACAAACTAGTCCACAGTTCCTCCGCTCTCCTGGGAAATTTGTCTAAACAAATGCCTCTCAAAAGGAACGTTTGACTTGGGAACAAAATAGTTGTCAAGTACCTGAAGTGTTGCCTGAAAACTCACATCCTCGCCATCACCGGCTAATGTGAAATAAATTTCTTGAACATCCATACCAGCAACATGCTACAGAAGAGCTCGCTTTTGAGCGTCGTTCGAAACACCTTTCCCGTCACGTACAAATCAAACGCTCGCTTCCATCTCTTCCACAGCTGACTTAAAATGTGTGCCTCTCCCTTCGGATTAAATGGTTCCAATTCACTAAAGCAACTGAAGCCATTCCAGAACCATTAACAGAACTGCCAACAGCACTGCTTGTCGTTTCATCTGATCCACCATGTCCCGACATCTCTGAGATAAATCCCTGGCGAAATCACTTATGAATTCCCAGACGAAACTCCTGAAACCTTTGACAAAACCTCGAAATCCTTGAAGTCCTCTAAACCTTCAAAATTCTCAAAATCTTCAAAGTTCTCAAAATCCTCATCACCAATGTAGTACACAGCGGTTAAAATGAAATCGGTTTTATTCACGTACCCAAGAGAACTAACTAAATAATTAAACACATGCTGTATATATGCGGGTCTTGAGGGTATTACATCACACATCACGCATCACATTACATCGCGCATATTACATGCTCGTTGGCATCCTATACGCTACAGAATCTGTACTCCATCCCTGGTGGCAAAACACCATCAGTATCTTATCTTGTCTCAAATGCCAGTAGTAATGGGTCAGTGATTTTATCACTTTAATTTTGAATGCTTTTTACTTTTTGTGTCTTTGACTTAGTTCTATATAATTATGTTTTTTTTTTCTTTTCTAATCAATAGGTCATTGCTGACGAAAGTGGAGATCCATCATTTGTGGCAGCTGATCTGTTATCCCAGGCAGAGCATGGAACAGACAGTCAAGTGGTACTGGTGGCTGTTAATTTGAATGACAACCAGCTTGATGCAATTCAGGTGACTAGTTAATTATTTACTTTTTGTCAATATATTGCCAACATAGCCACTGTACTGGTTGAGATCACATCGTCATCATCAATTCTCATTTGTCAGATCCTTGATTGGTCGAAGATTTTGGTTTTAGATGAAGATGACAACTTCTTTTCTGAGTTATTTGGTTTTATCAATAGTTGATAATGTAAATTGGCCACCTTAAAGGTTTAAAAGCTGACATTTCAAGCATTTGCCCTTCGTCAGAGCAAATTGCTGATGATGAAGAGCTAATCTCGAAACATCAGCTTTTAAACAGTGGCCAATTTACTTTAGCAACCAAGGTGATAAACCCAAATTACCTTGTCCCCCCCCCCCCTACACAGCACCAGTTTCTTTAGAAACTTACCCCCTATATTCTTCCTGAGTGTTCTCATTACCTGTTTGATGGATATAAAGTGTGGATACTGTAGTGAGAATATACATGTCAGCCACTTTTTGGATTAATAGGATGGGGTGTTCTAGTGAGGGGGTAGAACATAGATTTGGTTTGGCAAATAAATGGTATTTATAAGATATCTAGTGCCGTGTTAATATATACTATATTTTGTTACTTTTTAGAGTCAAGTGGATGCTCAAGCAAAGAAACTTCCTCGTGAAAAAATTGTCAGAGAATCTCTATCAAAGAGCTTTGTAATAAAAGTGTCAAATATTAGTCAGGCTCTGTGCTTCAGTAACAAATATGCTCCAGAACATCTCATCATCAACACAAAGGTTTGCAGTGGAGTATTTTTTTCATCCCCTACTGTTGGAAGAAATTAGATGCTTTCCACTCTTATGGGTTAAGGGCTGGGTCAACAGGAAATATGAGAAGTTTGAAAAGGCTGATGAATTTAGCAATCACAACCTTGGGGGAAATGATTGTTTTTTCCTTTTTTTTTTTTTTTTTAATTGTTGTTTGTTTGATTTGTAGAATGCTGAAGATTGTTTAAAAGATGTACAGAATGCAGGGTCTGTATTTCTTGGGCCATATTCCTCAGAGAGTTGTGGAGACTATGCAAGTGGTACAAACCACACCCTTCCAACATATGGCTATGCTCGCATGTACAGTGGTGTATCAACAGCATCATTCCAGAAACATATCACAGCCCAGCAGGTAACAAAGGAGGGTTTGGCTAACATTGGGCAAGCAGTAGCTACACTTGCTGCAGTGGAGAAACTTGATGCTCACCGTAATGCAATTTTGATCAGGCAGAAACAGATAAATGGCTCATTGTAGAAAATTCTAGTGTCATAAGAGAGTGACAGTATGCAGTGGCGGATCCAGGGTAGGGTCCGGGGGGTCCGGACCCCCCTACCAGACCTGATGCTTGCAACTTTGAGACTGAAACACTTACATACAAGTGAGGATTGTATATCACTTTTAACTGGCTGATCTTTTTTAATTAATTTAAGTAAGTGGTAAGCAGCCAAGGAACTTATAACATGCAACTGTGAGTGGTGGGAGGGGGTGTGGGGGAGAAGTAATTTGCCTCAAAAGAGTCCAACAGTCCTTTCTGAACCAAAGTTTGGACCCCCCCAATCAAAAATTCCTGGATCCGCCTCTGGTATGAACTGTCAAAATTAAAACATTGAAACTAAGAAAGTATTTGCTAATGAGTTAAAGGCTTAAAGCTTTACAAACCATTGAGGAACATTGGAAGAAAAGAGTGTAATAGTCTACTGACTTAATTGTAAATGTCAGTTGGAGTTGAAAATTCTAATCTTAAAAGACAAACATATGGTGTGATGAACATAATTGTTATTTATGGGAGCATATTTATGTGAAGGAGTTAACAAATTTTGTGGCCAAAGCTTCTTGTTTCATCCACGGAAGGAGTTCTATCTTCCCTACGTGGTATTGACATTTGTTTAAGGCAGTTTGTTTGAGGGGATGAGTGAAAAAGCAGGCCAAGTTAGAGAAACCTGCCACTTACCCCACTCATTTGTGTGTACATTAACTTACTAATAGCTCAGTAGAGGTAACATTGGTTCAGTTATTCAAAGAGCTGAACTGAAACATTAGTCATCACTTAATTAATTGATAAAACTGTGGTGTTGCTTCAGTAGGGGGTATTAGAGGATAATTTGGTTTTATCAACTGAGTTGACAAATATAACTGGCCACCATAACAAGTATCTTTGGCTGACATCAGCAATTTAGATTATCAACTCAGTTAATAGTCATCACCAATCTGAATCATGATAGACAGCTTCTTGTAATAGTCTTTCCATGCTGCATTGTGTCAATTTTGTCATTTTGGTAAAACACAACATAAGTTAGGGTGTCTGCAATGAAGGAACTTCAATTGTTAGTGTCGTGTAGTGCCACATCCTTCAGCTCTTCAAAAGTAGTGTGGGCCACTCAAGTAAGACTTGCAAGGTGTGCAGAAATGGGTTATCACACATAGGCATCTTATAATGCAGATTTTATTTGCAGATTTTTTTCCATTATACATGACATCAGGTTATCACTGGCAGAGGATTTAAGTATTTATGTAACAGTGTTATTTTTAGCAGTCCTCGTAGAATGTGTTTCATCAGTGTAGCAACTATAAGGTGCTATTACAGCTACTGTAACAGCATTATTGTATTTTTGTGACACTGAAAATTGCCTTCTTAAAGCACCGGACAGCTTTCAGCAAGAAGCAAAAATTAATACTGAAGATCTGAAAATAAAACAACTGCACAAAAACTTTGCTTTGTTGTAAATTTGGTGCTACAATGAGTTATGAAAACCCAAATTACCTTTAGTTAGTTCATGGCTCTCCTGGGATGGACTTGTGGAAGTCCTCATCACTCAGCCACAAGCCCCAGTCTCCACACTTTTTTAAAAGTGGAGAAAGGAATGGAAATAGTGTGCTAAGGAAGGGAACAGTTGGGGATTGGGGTACTCAGATCAGAGGTGACAAAGACTGGCCTAATAGTTATATTAATCACTAAACACTTAAATTAAAGCAACTAAAATACTACAGACTGATAAACTTTTGCATGCGAGTTTCTTAACATTCCAATCACTTACTTTGGTTTTGTCAACCAAGTCAACAATGTACACTGACAACCGTCAAGAGTTTCTAAAACTGACATTGCAATGTTAGCCCTTTGGCTTCAATTTTATTAGGGAGCAACTGCAATGTGCACACCCACACCAACTGAATGACAGCTAAGAAAAGAATAAGTGTTACACAGTCGTTGCACACACCATTTTAAATACTAAAAGTGCTTAAAAAAATTACTTATAGGAATTTTTTTTCTAATATAGGACATACTTTGAAACTTGACAACTGGTGGTAAAATTGTGAGGTTGAGAATTCTGTAAAAATATTCAACACCACTTCAGCAAAGAATGAAGTGGAATACATTTTTGTGTTCAATTAGATTTCTCAAGAAGACAGATTGGATTCTTATGAACCATTTCAAGGTCCACTTTGTGTCCTATTAAATCCCTGATGTTTGAAATCTTGTACTTGATCATGGTTGGCCTACAGTGAATCAAAAATAAATAGTAATCAACTGATATTCTGAGGACTAACCTTAAAGTTTTCACTCCCAAGGGGATCAAGACATAACTTCTCACAATAAGAAATAACTATTTGACTAAAAGGCGTCTAAAAACAGACAAAACTATTAACCACAGGGTTTTGACATCATCATGATGAAAAACCAAATTCTGTACATTTATTTACCAGGAAATGTTGAAAAACCAATGGGGAGAACAACTGTGACATATCAAATATTGGAACCTACCAAGTGAACTGGTACTTTCCCTAAGCAACATGACTGTTTAACACTCCTACATAATGAGGAATATTTTAAGCCTTAAACTCCCAGAAGCGAAGAACATGCAACCTCTCCATACAATATCCTCACATTGTCCAGCAAACAAGCGACGAGAATACTCAAATTTATCACACGACTCAGGCAGTCAGAGGGCCAATAACTAAAATCAACCAATCAAAATGCTCTATTGCCTGTCAATATTCTCCAAGTATTGGACAGGACACTGTCCCAAATGGCCCCGAATGACACCGCTCTTGTGTCCCTTTGAACTTCAGTAGTATAATAAATCTCTTATTAACCAAGCTTGCTCAGGACCGTACTGGAAGAATATCGGCCCTCTGTCTTTTTTGTATGGACCTCGCTGCACTCAGTCCGTACTGTCAAGACCTCAGGCTGATTCTCCCAGTACGGCCCTCGGGCTCGGTTAACAAGATATATGTACTGTATAAGGTAGAAATTGTTACCTTGATCTTGTACCCATTCTAATTTACAAGGAAATGTGTAGCAGCTGGGGGGGACAATTAACAACCAGATCCTGGGAGTTAAAGGGATAAATCCCTCCAGATGCAGCCTCACTGCAATGCCAATAAAACTCACTGAACATTCACCTTTCCAAAGAGAGTCCCCAAGCAATAACAGACACATCTTTTGGTAAGCCCATTGGGAGTAACATTTCAGGTCTGAACACTCCTGAATTGCCAACTTCAACCCACTTCTTGAGGCCTGAAAATGTTTAAATTGTTACTTGCAATGCACGGTAAATCAATCATTAAAACCTTTATAACCGCATGAACAGTGTTGATTATGGAAAGTGTTTATCAGACAAGAAAAACAATTGTTGGGATTGACATAAAGGAAGCCAACTTTCTACACTGTTATAAAAGAATGGTTCTGGTTAGCTGATTTTGAATTCCAATTTAGCTTTAATTGCATATTATATATAATGAAATCTAATGGGGCAAAAATTTTATTTGATGAGTACCTTCGTGGTAACTGAAAACTTCCATGCTTGGCTCTGTATAAGGATTGTATGCTGGCTTGAATCTTAACTGTGTAATACCTGTGGGATTGAAAAAAAATATATTGATGCATGAATTGTATCTCTATTTCAACAACATGAGACCCAAAACATTTTCTGCTTCATAAATCCCCTTTAACCATTGGGACAACAATATCATAAGTTGTTACACTTCGAATACAACTTACCTAGCTTCTTGAAAAACTCATAGAGCACTCCAATCAAATCCCCAAGTGTCAGATTATAATCTGCCACAACACCTTCAATCTGATGAAACTCTGCTAAGTGAGTGGCATCTAAGGTCTCATTACGAAACACTCGATCAATTGAAAAATACTTAGCTGGTGTGAATTTCTCCTGGAAGTAGAACATAGTTCAGTTGACTTCTATGTTAAAATCATCATGGTGACCACAAAAGAATGAGAACACAAGAGTTAATGATATTCAAAGAACTAACAAAAGATCTTTGGTGTCCATCTATGAGGCTAAAAATGATAAATAATTCAAAATTAGCTTAATTAAAAGATTGCTGAGAACCTGTTGAGCCAGTTTGTACAGCATCCTTGCACTAACAGCAGTTGTATGAGTTCTGAGAATGTTCTTTTTGGCTTCTTCAAGTTTCCACTCATATTTATATCTACAAAATTAATCACATTTACCTCATGTCTGTCAGCCCAAGAAAATAAAAAGTTACAGGAAATGTGGCTGTTAGTCTTTCAATCAAAGCTATTACAGTAGCTTTTCCAGTATCTTTACAACTGCATTGCAGAAAAGTGCATCAATCACTGGTTGATTTAAAACTCAAAGAAATGTTTCTTGGATGGCAAAGTATAAATTAAATTGTGTAAAAAAATAAGTTCCTACCCCTGTGATCCATGTCCTCCAGATTCATGCATGTTTTTCACTTTTTCAATATAAGACTCAGGCATTTCCTTTAGCTTGGCATATTTTGGTTCTAAAAGCAGAAGAAAATATTAGAAGAACTGAATGGACAATTTATTGGCAAATGCTGCTATCAGTATTCACCAACCTGCCATAAAAAAGGTGTCATGTGCATCCCTGGCTGGGTGCTGTTGAGGCTGAAACAATGAATCAAAATTCCAGAAGGAGCTCTCCACAAAGTTGTTTGTAGGCATTTCTGTAAACCTAAAAAAGATCAACCATTCCTCAGTCATTTGTAGTCTTTATCTTTCTCCACTACAATTAAATTGACCCCAATTAAAGTATTGAGAGAAAAACAGCACAGATGAATCAGTTTTGGAAAGTTGGAAGTTCTGTACTGACCCCATTTCTAAGAAGATTTGTCTGAAATGGGCTCTAACTTTCATCAAAGGATGAAGATGTCCTGATGTTGGTAAGATTCCTTGTGCATCAAAATTGTATGGCTTGAATTGCTTCTCTTTCCAAGAACCACTAGAAGTTAACACAGATAAATATATTTATAATTCACCAAATAAAAAAAAATGCACTGATAAGCAAGTTGATATCATAAGTCACTATAAAGAATCATTCTGATTGAATTTTATTTCAATCTCTAATCAAATTTTTCTTGTTTACATTAATTTTGAAAGAATGAAACTTCACATAATATTCAAGAAATCAACCTTGCAAGCATGTCTGCTGTCAAATCAGCTTCTAGTTTTGTTGGTGATGTGGTAAATTCAGTGCCTTTGGTCACATAAAAGCTCTTGATGACCCTGTAGAAAAAGTTAAAATTGCTAGACATTTTAAAAACAAAACACAATAGGAAATTGATTTAAATGAATACCCTGCATTTGTGAATGAATTAAAACTGGCATTCTGGGTGAAGTGAACTTTCACATTGTGTAACTGGCTCTTGTGTTTCATATATCCCACTCAAAAACAAACAAACTTAATATGACCTATAGGTCCTGCAGAGTACAAAGAGGGTCAACCCAGAGAAGGCAATGTACCTTTTAATAATTAGTGATTATCTCAACTTAAGCTTGGTAGAATCTGTTCACTATATGCACTCACTGTGTCTTGATTAGCTTCCTTTTCTTGAATTCCTTCATCTTTACATCGGGGATGTCTGAAAGCTGCTGATCCCTGATTTTTATGAGTGCCAGTTGGACATCATCTTTTACATCCTCGGCCTTCAATATCAAACATATTTTCAAAAGTTAAATTGGAGAGGTAAAGCCTAAAAAAAAAAAAAAACAAGAATTTTTCCTGTATTTGCCAAAGCTATTGCACTTCACCTCTCAGTTCACAAAAGAATTTTGAGGCCATAAGTGTTACCCCCACCGGATTTAGATTTAACTTCCTCAGATGAAATACAAATGAATTGATCCTTGTAGGTCCCTGATTTGAGGTGTACTTTCTAAAAGAGAAGATCAGGATATATATCTTATTAACCAAGCACGAGGGCCGTACTGGGAGAATAATCAGCCAGAGGTCTTGACAGTGCGGACCGAGCGCAGCGAGGTCCATACAAAAAAGACCGAGGGCCGATATTATTCCAGTACGGTCCTGAGCAAGCTTGGTTAAAAGAGATTTATTATACAACTGAAGTTCAAAGGGACTCAAGTGCGGTATCATTCGGGACCATTCGGGACAGTGCCCGGTCCAATACTTAGAGAATATTGGACTGGCAATAGAGCATTTTGATTGGTTGATTTTAGTTATTGGCCCTCTGACTGCCCAAGTCGTGTAAAAATACTCCAAATTGTTCCAAGCAATTGATTCTCACCTTCCTCATAACCCTGGGTCCTCCCTCAGCATTCTTGTTCAGCTGAAGCCATCCAGCTGACATAGCTTTACTAAAACCAACATTAGCATGTGGACCAAGCTTCTGTTAATACAAAACAATAAAACAACAGTGATGTAATGGAACTGATGTCTTGATTCTACTGGGAAGAGGATTCAGCCCTGCAAAATGATGTGATGACTTTAAGACAATCATGTACCTATCCTTGCACACTTAACTTCCTGTAAGTACCTTTACCCTATATCTATCATTGCAGGTGTATTCAGAGATGTCACATGAAAACAGAGGCAGACTTCTACCATAGCCATCTGGGGTTATGGTGTAATTAATCATGGGAACCACCCTCCCCCCCTCCCATTGTCAAAAGGAAGGTGGACCTTGCCCACCTGTCCTACTCTTAGAACCCAATTGGAGTTTTATCAACTCAAAGGAAATAGAGAAGGTTTCCTTGGTTAGGAGCATACTAGAAAAAATAAAAAATAAATACCTCAGAAAAGTCTCTGAAATAGAATGTCTTATACCTTTATTTCCGCTTGAGGTAATCCCTCGGGTGGAACAGCTTTGAACACAAGAAACTCATGGCTTCCTTTCTCTACAACTTCACTTCCTTCGTCTGTCAGCACCCAGCCTTCTGCTTGTCGTTGTTCAACATTTACCACCTTTAAAACCACCCGAAAAACTGAATATGTTAAAGTGTTTATTATTATTTATTCTTTATTTCTTTATTACTATTGTTTGTGTCATACAAGTGAATTCCTAAGATTGGCCAAAGCCAGAGGTTTAAATGGCTCATGGTCAGAGACAAAGACTAATTTTTCAAAGAACAATAGACTAATCTAAGGTATTCTAATCTAATCTAATCTAATCTAATCTAATCTAATCTAGGTAATAAACAATAATCGGGGTATATTAGAAGTTCAGTATAATGTTCACAAATTTACAAAGAGCAGTAGATTAATCTAAGTAGTAAACAATAGTCCGGGTATATCAGAGGTTCAGTATAATATTCAATTTTGGTAGCTAAATTACAAATAAAATTTCCCTGATGCACAGGGAACACACTTACATCCCCAAGAGCATGGATGCTCTTTATACTTCCAACAATAGATTGATGATCTTTCCCAAGTTCTTTGGAAAATTCGAAAGTCTCGATACTCCCTCGCTCTTCCACAGCCTCCAATACCAGTCTCTCCAAGGACTGAGTCCCCATAATTCCGAAGGAAAGAGTTTCAAAGCTAATATGAAATTCACTCCTTTTCGGAAAGTTTCATCAGAAACTACTGGCCGTTATACGAAGTACAAACTGAGGGAAATATCGCGCCGCTGGATTAGAAGGAAGTGATCAAAGACTCATAGGAGCCCGCAATTAACTAGCAGTTTCCTTTCAAGGGTTAGAGATGTCGTGTATGAGGACATCAATATTTAGAAAGAGGTCATGGCGCTAATGTTATTGTTTGATCTCATCAATTTTCGCTTTCACGCTAAAGGAACAATTGTGGAAGGTGTTGGAGATGAAGTGTTAATTGGTTTAGCGTCGACTCTTGGGCTCGTAGCGCTAGTCAGTATTCTGTACAACACCCAAGGACAAAGAAACATTCACCCTTCACAAGAAGAGCATGTTCGTGTAGTTCGTGACAGACTGGGAGTCCGACAAGAAGGAAGTGATACAGCAGCGAATGATGGTCCAGTTTTGCCTGATTCCCCACCTGTTACTTATTCCACCGACAGAAGGTGCCCGGTGTGTCTTACAGATACGAAATTCTGCACCACGACCAATTGTGGACATGTATTTTGTGGTATATATGTCTCTCTTTGAATTCCTTGTGTATATGTCCGATTATACTATCACAGTCACATCATCATTAACGAGATATAACTGAGGATTTTTTTAGGTTGATTTTTCTTTTTCCTGCGCTTCACTATAAACTTCGAAGGGAAAACACAAAAATGCTCAAGCTTTTTATGTCTTTTATTCAAGTTACCTTGTGCTCATCCTTCATTGTTGCAATTATTTTGATGGTCTCAATATGTTTGTTTCATTAGCCCCATGTATAATAACATACTGGAGGTATGGAAGGTGGCTTGGTGCTGTCAACTGTCCTGTGTGCAGGCAACAGGTGAGAGCTTCATCATAGTCAGTCAGACAGTCCACCAGTAACTTAATCAGTGAGTGAGTCTTTCAGTCAGTGAGACAATCAGTATGTCATTTACTTCCTCAGTGAACTAATCAGTCCATCAGAGAGGTCAGTTGGTTGGTTGATCTATTAGTGAGTCTGCTGGAAATAAAGTTCCAAGTTATGAAGAACACAACTCAGTGGTGGCAATTCATTACACTTGATTTTCACAGCTCCTTATGACTAAGGAGAGGAGCCTGGGCTCATCCTAAACAGTGGCTAGTTTTCAAACCTATCTCAACAAGGACTTAAAGCTGAATGCAAAATCTGGTACACCTGAGTTTAAATTAAATTTTTGTCTTTTCACAGGTAACTATTCTATTTCCAAATTTTTCTGAGGAAGACAGAGCATTACCAGAAGCAGTAGAACATAGACGTGATATGAATGAGTACAATCGTAGATATTCTGGAATACCAAGACCTGTGAGTAAACCTTCGTATGTTTCACCAGTATGTACAAATTTTCTATTAAAATAGATATAATTAGCTCAAAATGCTTACACTCAATACCATTTATGGTTTACATCATTTAATCATCCAAAATTAGGACAAGCAGTTCCGTATTTGAATAAGTTCTGACTCATCTCCTTTATGCTAGGCATCTCACTAACACATCTGTGAAATGCTCTGATGACTTCTAACGAAGCCTTTCTTTCTTGCAGTGGATGGATTATATTTACGACTTACCCACTCTGCTTCATCAGCTGTCCACTGAGCTGTTTTCTGTTGGAGGACTTGTTTGGGTTTTAAGACTCCGAATCATCTTGTGTTTTTGTGCAGCAGCCTTATATTTCATTTCACCTTTGGACATCATTCCAGAGTCTGTGTTTGGATTTCTTGGTCTTTTGGATGATGTACTAATCATTTTACTGTTGCTGGTGTATGTTACTGAAATGTACAGAAGAGTGATAGCCAATAGAGCTGAGGAACCCATGTGAAGTATCAACAAGGAAGTATTACAAAATAATAAACAATAAATTTATAGTGTTCAAAGTATTTAATGTTATTTTTATCTAAAATTCAGTTTTGTAAATTTCTAGAAAACATCTGTTAGACCAACAAACATTTTTTTTGACTAGGTGTTACCCCTTGAGAGTGACACAAGATTAAAAAAGATTAAGCATGCTTGAGACAATAGCATTTCTTTAAAGAGGAATTCCACTGTGTATAGTTGATAGAGAGGCATTTCTGAACTTCACACTTTCAGTGGACTACATGAGAAACATTTGAGGTCATGAGTTGAAATGAATGAAAAAAGAAAAGCATGATTGTGTAATACTGATGACACCATCTCCTGGATTGCCAAGTGCAGAGTGCACTATTTTTAAAATTATGTTATTTACTTTACAAGGTGTAGATAGGATTGTGAATTATTGTTTTGGAACGAATGAATAAATTATATTAAAAAAAATAGTCAGGATAATATTACCCTTTATGGTATGCTTTCATTCTTAACAAGTATTACCAGGTTTTTACATAATCTAACTTATTTCTTGATAAATGGAACTCAGTGAACTCTAGATGATGAAACAAATGCTGCAGAATGCGTTCCCCATCCTAACTGTACTTGACAACAGAATGGTGTAACAGATTTGCTCACTTAAAGAAATGGCAGTATTTTCAGCATATATGGAGCTTGCAGGTCAGGCATATAAAATTTTCTGTTAAAAAATTCTTGGTTTGCCTAAAATTTTGCTCATTTTTAGGACTGATTAATGACTGCCTTTGTGTGAGGTAAGTAACTAACAATTCCTGGCGCAGAATAAGGAGCAATCATTTAAAAGGTGAATTTAATTGAACAGAAATTCTAGACAAATCTTTTTTTTTTTACAGAAAAAGAAGAACCATGAGAAAAATCAAAACAGAAGTTTCTATAACACATTTATGTTTTATATTAATTTAAACATCATTTTACTATTAAAATCTCATTAAATGTAATTTAATTTAATTTCGATGTAAAAGTTTGAATAAGGAGTCAGAACAATTTGAAACAAATGAGAGATCAGTACAAACCACAGTGTAGACCACCACTGGCCATTCCATTCTAAAGATCTAATTTAAAGCTAACACTGCCTTCTCCAGCAACTAGACATGGTTTATGCCACATGAAAGAAGTAAGAAGTTTGTCTATTTCTGTTAGTAATGGCTTTTCAGACATTGACCCAATGATTAACCCTCTGCTTCATTAGATTTGATTTTCTATTTTATCTTCTAGTTGCTCCTTGTAATTCACCAAGTGAATTTTGTGATAAATAGTGAATAGAGGTTTTGCACAGCAGCCATGTTGGATGGCAGGAACAATGAAAATATTTTGCATAAGAAAGAATTTTTTTTCCCATGGGTAAAATAATCTATTGTTCCCGCCATCCAACCTGGTTGCGGTGCAAAACCTCTATAGACAGAAAAATTTTCCTTTCTTAAATCTCTCTATTTGAGTCAAAACTGTATTGGTTAAAACCAGGTGTACTCAATTTCAGTCCCTTGATTGACATCTCATTATAATTTGCTTCTAAAATATTCTCTACCATGATTTTATCTTCCCTCCGTTCTTATATTGAACAACCCAAGTAAAACCAAGTAGTCCCAACAAATCCCACTAACTGGAAAAGCAAGGCAACTTTGAGCATTTCCTCCCAGCACTACATGATTTGAGCTACTTTAAATTTGTATTAAATATTAACAAGGATTTTCGAGTTCTTTTTTATAACAAAAGAAGATATTTGTTATACTGTCTTAGATAACAATATAATTGCATAGCATTATGATGCATCTTACACAGTGCCACAATTAATCACCTTGGACAATTGAAATTCAACATGTATTTTTCATCTTAGGTATAAATATTTTTATGGCAAGGTAAATTTACAAAACATTAACATGCAAACCCAACCCAAGAGGCCAAACTTTCTACACTAGCAAAATGAATTGTATTTGTGGTATTTAAATGAGATCCCAAAGCAGTGACTTGATGAAATTCAAAGTGCACAACAACAAGTTGGGAAGTTAGTCATAATCTTTCAAAGACTAGAGGTCCCTTTATGGGAAATACCTTGACATTCAAATCTCTTCTCAAATAAATGTGGCTAAATGATTGATGCAATATTTTAAACAAAAATAACTGTTTAATGCAAGTCAGAAATAGTATTAAAAGTGTACAATTCACGTGCGAATGGTGGACGGACGTATTTCTATGCGCTCCGGTTCTTTTCGATTCTTGACTGAGTTTTTAACTTCTTGTTGGTAATCTACTTCGCTTTATATAAATATAGCGTCTGAAAGATATCGTTTGCCAATTTCTGGATTAACTCCGATGAAGAAGCACTTGGCTGGGAGCCTTGACTACCTGATTCTTCACGATTTTACCGACGCCATCCTTACACAGCAAAAGGTCTCTACGGTTCCCGACTAAGTTAGTATTCTAATTCGACTGCCTCATTTCACTAAGCTCATCTGCTTCTAAGCGGTGATGTTTCAGTCAATCCTGGCCCTGACAAAGCTACTAACAGCTCTACAACTCTACGTTTCTTCTACCAAAATGTTCGTAGTATTAAATCCAGGGCTAAAAAAGAAAAAGAAAAAGAAAAAGTTTTGACATGGAAAGGAAGTCTTCATTAAATAAAAGTTTTGTCACGAGAAAAGTTTTGTCATAAAAAAGAGTTTTGTCATAGGAAAAGAGTTTTGTCATGGAAAAAAGGTTTGACCTGGGAAGAAAGTTTTGTCACGGGAAGAGTTTTGTCCTAGAAAAGAGTTTTGACAGAAAAAAGTTTTGTCGTAGAAAAAGAAGTTTATCATGGAAAAAAGTTTTGACTCCAAAAGAAAGTTTTGTCGTAGAAAAAAGTTTTGTCACGAGAAGAGTTTTGTCATGGAAAAAAGTTTTGTCACTGGGAGAGTTTTGTCGTGGAAACGAGTCTTGTCATAGAAAAAAGTTTTGTCATGAAAAAAATTATTTTCACTTATGGAAAAAGTTTGACAACAAAAAAGTACAAAGTTTTGACATGAAATGAAAAAAGAATGTCATGTCTGTCTGTCTGTTCATTTATTTTAATTCGAGATGTACAGTGAGCCAGTACCTCGTAGTAACTACGTTCCGGCGAATATTATTAACCCATGAATAAAAAAAGTTGTTATGATATCGTACCTATGGGCCACCGTAATTTCGAGACCTTGTTTAAGCAAACAATTTTGACGTTATCGCCATCTCAGAAACTTGGTTAAATTGTGAAGTTTTGGACTTGGAAATCCTTCCATGGAGTTACGATATCCATCGCTGTGATCGAGCTGATATACAAGGCATTCATTCATCTAGCGGTGGTGGAGTGCAAGTACTCGCATCTCGCTGGTTTCCCTGTCAACCCGTATTCTTTCATATGGAAAATGATCTGGAATATGCCACGATAGAGTTCATCAATAAAAACTGTGGTAAAACTCTTTATCAGTCTTTTGTCGTCCTCCTAATGCAAACAACTCTTGGATTCATCAATTTGTTAATTTTATTGATAGCTGTGTGTAAATAAATAAACAATAATAAATAATGATTTAGCAATGGACACTTCCACTGG